GGGGGGGGTGTGCGGTGAGGAATAATCAGGTCCCATCCACAGGTTTTAAGTTTGGAAGGCTGAACTCCCTGAAGGTACACCCATAGCTTGTCCAGGAAATCTAGATTTACTGTAGACAGTATGTGCAGGTGAAGTAACAAGAAACATTAGTATTCAACCCAGCTGTGTGCACATTCCACAGCCACCCCCTAAAGCTTTCTCTTTCTTTCTACCTCAGAATGTGAAATCAAATTTGGTTTTGTTCTTTTGATCATGTGAAGAGAAAAACTAGGCTTTTGGTCTTAAATATGTATTTTATCTAGGTAAATCATTCAGGTGAATTCAATCATTCTGGTATTTGCTGGAGAGCCTAGTATTACAAAAACAAGACAAACAGTAGTAGTACACATACACACACCAAGCAGTCAGTCATTTTTTTGAGAGAGCAAAGCTGCTAGATACAGCTAGAAATACTTTGCACTACCTTTCCTACTGCATGTGTTACTGTCCATTTCAGGAATGCACTTCCAGGACTTGCACCAGCCCTTATTTGTGCATCCAAGTGGCTATAATAAATGCTGAAAGAAAACCCATCAAGCTCCCAATACAAGAATACTAGCTCTCTATAAAATTAAGTTCTCTTAAGTCTTCCCAAGATGTTTTTTCCAAGTGACAAGAGGAAGGAGGAAAGGCAGTCAAGAAGCGAAACAGTCAACTTCAGGTCTTACCTGCTCTTACACCTCGGTATTCAGGGGTTGCAAACATGTCCCATTGTGAGACAATTATGGCTGCGATGCCCAGGACACAAATCACAATCAAGTAGATGAAGCAAGGCTGAGGGTTGCAATAGAAGGAGTAGTACAGCCATGGTACAAAGCTGCCCATTATGAGAAGTGCAATGCCAGAATAATCCAGCCTAGAAGGAAACAAAAATCAGTTTGGTAAGAAATGAGAACCTTTGGAAGTCCTTGTATCAACACTCTCTTCTTTAGTAGACCAACTGTCTGCTTCTCACTGCAAAACAAAGTTATTGCAACTTAACTTCCTGATAGCAACTCTTCCACCAATGCCCTCCTACAGTAATGGATTACCTTGACAACCAGCCAGTAAGGCTATTTTTGGACAGTCATCAGCAATACATACAGCAGCCTTTAGACCAAAGCTTTCTGAAAGACACTCAGATTTAAGCTTCAGATGAGGAAAAAAGCAGCACAACAGTCCTCTGAACACAAAAAAGGGCACACAGCATGTTGTGAGAGCACAGCCAACACAAACACTTCAGTATCTGACAAGTGTGAGTTAGGCATCAGCTTAAGCAACCACTGGGGAATAATGTTGCAATTTTTCAACCACGCTCTTTTTCGATACGCCAGTGAAGAAAAGGAATTCCTAAACCCATCACTTTTTACCACACCCTGACAAAATGCTCAAATTGAAGATGATGGAGTTAATTTTTCAGTAGGGGATTTTAATTGCTGGGTTACTTTAGAGGTGGTCTTGCAGATTACACAATCCTAGGTTGAATAATCTTAGGAAATATGAGCTATTTAGCAGCCAGCCAAAAAAGAACGCATAGTAAAACCAGAAGACCAAGACATCTTGATACACATTGTAGAGCTGTCTTATACAAGTTTAAGATTCAAAGTTACTCAGAATAGTTGAAATGACAAGAAGTGACAGTTGCATTAAAAATTCAAAGTTCTGCCACTAAGCTCTAGCTATATTACTTACAGCAGCAAGATGCATGCACACGCCTGCCAAACAGCAGAAAATGAAGGAGTTTTAAGACTAAAATGACAGCACAAAATGTCATGCCGAAACAAACAATAATTAGAAGAAGCTGCATTGAATCTCTGCTCAACTCTGTTCCAACACACATGCAGTCATGCAACGAACAACTCCTACACTGGGACTCCAGGCATAAATCCCAACCCTGTTTTCCCACCTGTTTCCTATTTGGCCTACCCTGTCCTCTAGGCACTTACTTGGAGAAGAGCCGGGAAACACCTTCTGAGTGGCAATAAACTGTGTGGAAGAGCCATGAGAAGGAGAGGCAGAGTATGGCTCCCAAGAAGAACAATCCAACAACCACTTTCTCCTGCACAGGTGCTACAAAGGACATGTTTGGCCGGAACATGTAGAAGATTCCCAGACAAAGGAAGAACACGCATCCTGAAAAACAGTAAGGCAGCAAGGTGTCAAGTTCATGCATACTGGAAGCTTTTCTTTCTAAAAGCATGACCTTAATGTATAGGAGCACTAAACATAGGAGCTGCATGACAACCAGCAGCACACAGGCAGAATAAAGTACTGTCCTAGTTCAGTTATGCATTCCAACCACATTTCTGTCTCAGACTGATGCAATACAGGCTTGCACGGACTCTGTATTTTTACTTGTTTTGCAAGATGCCTGACAACTAGTTGGGCATTCTAGAAAAACTAAAAAAAAAAAAAATCTGTTGCAAAATGTAAAAGAGAAGGGCATAGTTCAAAGAAACCCTCGAAGACTCCTTGCAAGTTGAAAACCACTCATACAAGCTGCAAGTTACATGTGTTCCTATGGCAAGAAACACAATCTCAATTAACACCTGCACACTTGGGGAACAAAAAGAATATCTACTGGTAATTTATTAACAATCGGAAATTTTTTTATTCATTCATTTGTATCGAATACCATAATTAAGGAAGCCCCATCCAACCCTGGTAGGATAAAATTAGGAGAGGGATAGCAACCTGTTAATTTAACAGGTTACTTGTGGAATGATAATGCTGATCACCCCACATCCCCTTCTATCTTGCTCTCAAAGAGAGCAATGAAGCAAATTAGTATTAGAGCCCGCTGAAAATACCTAGAAGATGCGTCCAGATGTTACCAGTCTCCGTATGTATTCTGAAGATACTCTTGAAACAAGCCCGGAAGGAAGGCATGGGTGGTCTGTGTCCATGCAACAGGTAGTCGTTGTCCTTTAGCCAGTCAGGCAGAACATCATGGGGAATGACTCTCCATCGCCCCTCCCACACCTAGAAGTTAGAAGATTTTAATTAAATGCAGGGAATTGAGTTCCCCTGATGTATGACAAAAGTCAGAAAACCTGTATTAGTAAAGTGTTCATCTATCAGTACAGTAAACAGAAACAGGTTGATGGGACTTCTCTGGGGAAAAGGCTTCACACTTAAGTCACTGTTACCTGTTCAAAACAGTATCATTATGAAGTTGAGCTGCACCACCAGAGAAAGACATACTTCAGCATTTCATTGAACAGAAAAGCTATTGGGCTTTTTTACTGCTAATGAAGGGAAAGCATTTAATACATTTCCATGTTCTGTTATTTTCACACATCATCCCCTCCATTTAATTGAAGAAGCCTACACCTAGTTGTCTCCAAGTAAAATAAACAAACCAATCTGACTATGTATCTGCTAGCATTTGTGGCAGTCTAGCAAAAAAGCTACCCATTAGCACTAATATGGGCCAGAAAGCATGAAGTGGCAAGAGTCCAGTGACCAATTCCTTATCCAGGTTGGGAAAAAAATGCTCCTGCACTCCCAAAACAAACAGTAACAGAGCAGTTAAGGCAACAGATCCGTGACTCTCAATTCCATCGCATTTCTTCTTTAAAGGGAGATAGAGCATATGGGCACACATCTATTCTTGCAGCTGGTTCCAAATGAAAAAAAGTGTGAACAGGTGTTCTTAGCTCTGCTTCAATAACATAAGACACATGTAGTCTTCAGTCTGGCTTCAGAAGCAGCACTGCCAAGCAGAGGGGCATCAGGGAATTGCTTTATGTACCGGGGTTGTTTCTGCAGTGTTCCTTGGTTTTGTCGTCTGGCTAGTAATACAGGAGCGAGACTGAAGAATCCTGAAACACTAAGTTTAAAAAGCTACGTTCTTATTTCAGTTTCAACAACAAGAAATTTTAAATCAATTGTCCATACTCCTTCATGGAAGGAAAACAAAATTAATCAGAATAACCAACCCAGTTAAAGACTGGGTTCTTAAATATATTAAACAAGAAAATAACCAGTTTGTTTAATGAACTAAAAATTTAAACTGAGGTAGAAAGAGCAGAAGGGAATTCATTTTACACTATCCACCCTACAGTACATCCAGAAAGGGGAAAAGATGCAGATACATAGTAAAAAAAAAAAAAAAAAAAAAAAACCAAAACCAAAACACCTCCCCACACACCCAAACAACAAAACAACCCATATATAAAAGACCACCAAGTAACTGGTGTCTGTAAGAATATCAAAGAACAGTTCATAAAACCAGCAGCAATAAGTCTATAAAGAGGCAGCACTCCTTTCCTTTCACCAAGGAAGGCCAGGGACTGATACAGCCCCATGGCTTTAAAAGTAGCAAAAAATTGAGCCAAGGTCAGCAATTACAAAATCTACAGTGGATTTACTTAGATACAGTTTTGATACAGCCTTGTTTTCTCTTCAAGTAAGAGACAAAGCTTATTCTACAACAGATGCAAACAGTGCTGGAAAAGCAAAATATTTGCAGGTCTGAAGAGACCTGGGGAAAAAAATGACCTTGTAAATGAAAGTGCCTTGAACCAGAAGGATTTTATTCTGCTTTGCACTCACAGGTGTTTCTCAAGAAAGAGTCCTCAGTTGCACAATCAGCTTTAGAGTCTCACTTATAATCCCTATTGTTTCATGCTTTACAATGTATTCATTTATGACAGACTGAGATCCTGAGAAGCTGTAGTATTACTAGTTACAACAAGAGATGCCCATTCAGGGATGGTGTGTACCTGCTCTCCCTCACATGAGCAGTGCAGTTGCTGCAGGTATAGTCTGTTGCCCACTGCAACTTCCTAAAAAAGGAAATTACTTCATCAGTTTCCACATGCCCTTACCTTACACACAAATTCTTCCATTCTCTCCATAGCATGGTGGGCTTGTAGAAGAGGTGACATACCCATAAACCCTTCGTCTTCTTGAGGTGACTCATCATTGTGTTTATAATCCTCAGAACACTGCAGAGGGAAAAAAAACAGAGAAAATGCTTTGTAAAAAGATGAACAGAGAGAGGTGATGCTGTTTTCCATACAAAACTATGATTTGAGGTCTTGGCAAATAAAGAAGTCATCTTTCCTTGTATGGCACTGAGGAAGTAATTCAAAAGAACCAGCAAAAAAGTTATTACATTCTTAGGCATCTGAGAACAACTCACATCTTTAATCCATTTTGCACATGTTTTCACCAGGTTCGGAAAAAAGCAGCGTTCTTCTGTAAGTTACGCTTTGCTAAAGCCCAGATATGGAGTCTGAGGCTTGCAGCCTACCCACCTCTAGGGAAGGATTACTTCCTATTTTATGTTTCAGTGTCACTATGCCTGCCTTAATGCCTCTATAACGTATCTGGCATTTTAGGATAATAAAAGGCATGCCAAGGAGAGGACTCCGTTTATCTTGTTATAAATGCTTCACCTCAATTTTTAGTTAAAATCTGAAGATCTATTCTGTTTAACTGACACTTTTGTTCACCTCGTACTGGACATTTACTCATTTCTTTGACTTTCAAAGTATTTCAGAAACTAGTATGAAACTTTTGCCAGTTACACAAAGGCAAGTTATCAAAGAGAAGTAGTAACATGCGTCAGATTTTTAAGCAAAATTCAAATAAAGAGAAACATCCACATCCCCAAAGTGTACTAAGAGAATTATGAAAACAAAGACCAAAAAACCCACTGAGCCTGGATATTCAGCTGGTACACATCACTAATAACTTTACAGGAACACAGGGCAGTTTTCTACCTTAAGCTGACACATCACATCATATTATGACACACTCAAGCTTTCCATTTAGGAAAAAAGCAGGGGGGCCACAAGAGTTCTACATTCCCGTTTGCTTACTACAATGCTCATGGCCCATCAGAGACTCTATTCAGTGCTTCAGCTTCCAAGCTAAACAAGTTTGAGAAAGCTAGAAAGGATGAGAATGAGTCTTTTGTACCCCTCGGGCCTGACACAGAAAGCTGCCACGCACCTCGTGACCAAGCCAAGAAAGCCCCCCAGTTTGTACAGAGACTGGCCTCTTCCACGTTACAAGCCACACTTTTTCTCCCTCCTATTCCTCTATCAAGGTTAAGAACTTTAAAATCAAGATTACTTATCAATAATGCCATCTGAAGTGACTGAGAATCTAGTACATGACTTCATATACTTTATCACAGAATCACTAGGTTGGAAAGGACCTTCAAGATCAACCAAGTCCAACCATTAACCCAGCGCCACCATGTCCCCTAAACCATGTCCTGAAGCGCCACATCCACACGTTTTTTGAGCACTTCCAGAGATGGCGACTCCACCACTTCCCCTGAGCAGCCTGTTCCAATGCCTGACCACCCTGAATTATTATAAATAACGTTCATGTTAATGTCCTGAACTTTGAGTCAGAGATCAGATCTGGCTGTATATTTGTCCCACATTACAGCTCTCTCCTTAGAGTAAGGCCTTATTAGCTATTTCCATCAACAAGTTAACTGAACAAGCTGGTTAAAACTTTCCTTTTCTAATAAATAAAAGGAGGATTCTTCCAATCTACAGTGAGCTATCTAGATTCTTCAATATTTTTGGTTTTTTGAGAGAGAGAAATGACATGCTAATACTTGCTTTTGTACCCGACACTTGCAGTAGCCACTGAAGCTTCATCTTTTGAAAAGGTCCCCCCACCACATAGTTCTTGACCAAACTTTGCTTATCCAGAATGCAGATCTCTGCTACGTAATGCGTAGTATACATACTTTGTGTTTTATGTATGACCTCATATTTCTCCACACTAGGACAACTTGATTGACTAAATTAATCTCTGTACATAATCCATGTCCCTTTTACTGTCTACTCACCTTTGACTGAAATCATTATAGTCAATACTCCCTCTGAGCAAGTCTGGGCAATGATTTCCTATTAGGTTCAAGACCACCTGAGGAACCTGAACATACACAAGTCTATGGGACCTGACAAGATGCATCCCAGAGTCCCAAGGGAATTGGCTGATGTAGTTGACAAGGCACTCTCCAGGGTATTTGACATCTCCTTGCATTCAGCTGAAGTACC